TATCTATGGCAGTATATAGTACGGTGTATGCTCGTGTGATGTAGAGAATAAAGTTTAGATGGTAGCATATTATATAATTTTTACGACGTAGAATTGTAATGTATTACTTGCTGTGAGTAACTCAGCTTATTGTAGAGTATAGTAAGTATACTGATGGTGCTATGCAGTTTATACTTTAGTTTTTTTATGTAGTTTATACTTTAGTTTTCTACGTGGTTGTTTAGTAACTGCAGCTACATACTATTAACATTCCTTTCCTTTGTTAATGCTACTCCGTACACCCTCCCTTGGTGCTGCTGATCCTGCATAATGCATGGGCATAATATGACTTTGAAACCCCCCCGCCCACCTCCTACGCATTTCCCATGAATATGCTAAATTCCTCTTCATATGCACATTCTTTTTGTTAAGGCGCTCTTCTTGCACCTCCAACCCAGCGTATATATAAGCTCCTAGCTTGGTAGTGTCTCATTCTTCACCTGAAGACGGCTGCTTGCGTTGTAGCCGAAACGTCGTGAGAATTATTTTATTATGTTTTATTTTTATTATTTTATTACTTCCCTTCTACGTGACTTTACCGAAAGAACCAAGTAGATATAACAGGAGACTCTTGAAGAGTGTATTCAACTCACGATGGCTCTACTGGATAAATAAGTAATGATATCATCATAATAATGCAATCGTTTTAAGAGCGGAAGTTGGCAATCCAGATGTTCGTATACTATGTATACAGAAATATGGACGACAGTTAAAGTTAATGGTGGAGAACATTTTCCACGACATGAATGACCTGTTTAAGAACGTGTGAATGTTTCATGTCCTTTCAAAAATCCTGCTTCTCCCTTGCCCAAATATTCTCGCAGTCACATCTTCCATGACCTGTGATCTTTCCACTCCTTTCCCATCTCTCTCAGCTCCACACTGTTGTAACCTCCATGCCCCTTGTCAGCCCACTGCATCCTGTGATATCCCTTATGGCTGAATTGAATCACAAAATATCACCGGCCTTTCTGTCCCCTGTAATATAAGTACATGTTTGCAAGTTCCCGTTTTTTTTCTCTCCCTCATACAGCAATTACATTTTTAATTCTGGAGGTAATTAGGATATATACCAGCGTTTTCATTACAAAACGAGCCAATTTCAAATGTTCATTACTTACCCTTTTGCGTTTGCCGACAGCCCTCTTACTTTCATTTTCAACACATCACATCCAATAGTGTTTGCAATGAATTGCACTTGTGTTTTTAATTTGCAAGTATGCAGTCGTACATTTTTGCAGGTAACTCACGCCCTCTGTGTGGTGTGGTGGGTGATGGAGACGGGACTTTTTTCCCCGTAAAAAAACAACGGTTATAATTTAATTTGAGTCCATGATGACTAATGCACTGCTTAACGCGCTCATCATCATAAATATTTTAGCTGTTAATTGCAGGTAATTGCTTAAAAGCACATTATTATAAATTGCCTCCTATACTGGCAATTTCATTAACATAAATGGGCAAGTAAGATGCTATTCCTGTCTACTTTCAGCCTGTCATTGCAAACATTGATTTGCCATGTAATAGCTGCCATCATGTTATAGACAACCCGCACACTGCTGATTACAGCTGTTGCCACATTATATGAGACACAAAAGAGCTCATTACACCGGGAACACGGTTGCTTGCACCATAAATGTAAGGTTGGGATGCTTGAAAAGTGTTCCGTCTTGAGAGTATCAACCGCGGAGAGGCAGCAACGCACCTTTATTGTGCACCGTGCAAAGGCAGTAAATACAGTTCCAGATTTTGGTTCAGAGCGCACGTGCTTACAAATGTGACACATTCTTAAATAATGTTCAGTTGCCAGGAAAAAAAATATTAGAGAAGAACGCCTTCCATCCACGTGTGGTCGGCCTAATCGCCCTGCTGGGCTGAAGAATCCTTGCATATGGATCATTTGCTGCCGCGTGATAACAGCGCAGCGTCCGCGTGGCACATGTACTTGACTTTGTGAAAGTCACGATCTTACTCAGTGCGGCCACCTGTTTAGTCTAGCTATTTGGTTGGCCCTATACGCTCCGAATTGTGTTGTATCGCACTTACATTATAAGCACGTGAGTGTACTGAATACTGTGCTCAATGTTCGGTACACGTAATTATATTCTATTTGCCAGGCTGAAAGCTGAATCGATCTGTTGGTCAAAATATAGTAAACATGATTATTTTCAATGTATCTGCATTAATTAAATTGAACGAGTCAGAACTGTATAATGATTACATTATATAAATATAATTAATTATTGATTTGATATGGATTAGGCCACGTAATTATATGACCAAATTTGTGTCATTAAGACCCTCAACCACCCTACACAGCCAAACAAAGTAAATTGGCACGTGTACAAACGTTTAACACACTATTATTACGATTCAATCTCACTGGTAAGCTGAGGAACAATTCTTCTAGCCAAATTTAGCAATTAGATACGATGCTTCATTTCAAATTATGTCAAGCATCATCAGGACAAGATCCAGGAAGCCATAAAAACCGTGTGTCACCTAACCCGGCTTCATTAATAGAAGAAGAAAACAGATTTAACGTGGATATTAGCCATTGCGTATTTTATTTCATTCAAATTTATGTGGGCCAATTATTTACATTATATGCATTATTAATTATAACTACTCATTAGCTTACTCACCTGTAGCAGGAAAGTATTATTATATTGTCTGAAGCTTACAACTTCGTGTTAAATGTGTTATAAGGCTTTATTATTGAACATATCACCTACTCTTCAATTATGTTTCCAAGCCGGATTTAATGTATTGATATCAGCTCGATTAAAGTGCTTCTCGCTATCGATAGATATGTAAATTGTTCTCTGCGCTCTGTCGTTTGCGATTGAATATCGTGCCTTTGCATACATTTATAACAGTTTATTTATGTATGGCTTGTGCCCACCTGGGCATCATTGTTTTATTCACTCAGGCTAATTGCATCCACGTGCTGACACTCAGATGTAGTCATCGCACCGGAATTGGCAGTCCCTTGCAACTAATTGACTGGGAAAATGCAAGGACTGCAGCTCTGTTGGCAAAACAACAGGCTCCCAAATCGTGAGATCTTGAGTTCAAGCCTCAACCAGAGTTCAATGGCCCTTCATCTCTATAGCGTAAGGTGAGCACTTCTTGTTGGGAAATCAACAGCAGTTGTCCTTTAAACAGAATGGATCTTGCCAAATGCGTGTGTAATGTATACCAACGCTTGTGGAATGACAACGGAAATAATTAAGGGTCGGCCCTGCAGCCAATAGGAACGCTGTGACTTAAGTATCATAATCTTTACGTGTATAAACACACGTCGTTGTATTATCAGACGTGTTTTTAGTGTCCAACTGCCACCTCATATTCCAATCTCACTCCCACCCCACCCCACGCTCTGCGTGCTGTGAGCTCCACGGGTCAACCACGCATCAGCGAACGTGTGCGGTGTTGACGTCACCCGGGTACCTTGGACAGCGTTCAACGGCGACATTCAGAGCGTGGCTTGTCACGAGGGCAAAGGCTTCGCTATTTTTCTCTCCAGTTGCCCTTTATTTAGGCAGGTGAGAGGCCACTTGGATTCAACATTGAATTCTACGTAAGACGATGTATTATGGAAGGGATGCTGATTATTCTTACTATTCTTACAAAATGTATTATTGACTTGTGGAAATTGGGTCATATCTAATATACAATGTACTGTGAGCGTTGATAAGTCATCGCGACGATAAAAAGGCATCGTCGTAATTATCGTAAATGGCTTCGTATAACGCTTCGCTGCTGTCAGTCACAAAAAGTCAATACATATCAGAGGCGTTTTGGTTTCCGGAGTTTTAATTGTAATACTGCGTTCTTTTTTTAAATATATCCACTCACACATATATAGTAATAATTTCCTATCGTATAAGCTCGTGTTATAAAAAAACATACTTTGGTTACTTTAGTTTCAAAGCAGAGTTTTTGTTTCGACGAGTGTAGATCAGATAATTACCGTAGAAATAAGGTTTGCAATAGTTTTCCTGCTTGGGTATATATATATATATATTTTGTATAAATGAAATATGTGGACACAATGTACCACAAAACCGTCCCATTTCATATCTGTACATGGATGAGTCAAACGTGTGTGTGTACGTACATGCATTGTTCAAATTACACGGATACTTTTGGGGCAAGGGCTGCAGGACACGGGACTTGCCCAGAAAAAATTGCAAGAAATGTGTGTCTAGTTTGCTTAAAAATAGCCGTCTCTCTCAAACGGCCTCAAGAATTTGCATGTAAATGCATCTCTGCCTCGCTGTTAATAACGTTTGCCGACAAAGGTTAAAAAACAAATATTTCAGACAAATTTTGATTTTCATTTGTATTTCATATATATTTTAAAAAGAGAATGCAGAAATGCTCGTATGTGCACTGGAATCTCGGTTCGAAACCTGAGCTTGGTCGGGGGGGGGGGGGTCTTCGGCTAGTTGCTCTATTCAGACTAAAAAAATAGTCCCCGATATGGCTGTGTGTCAATGCCAGTACTGGCGAGACGCAAGACTCTGCGCTTGAGCGATATTGGTTGTCCCCAGGTGCTCGCGAACAGCACTTGCCGCCCGCAGCAGTCGACCCAGGCTTAAAGGCGTGGTATATGTTAAATGCTAGGGAATGTGGCAGATACTGTCCTCTTTATAAAATGTAAAGTTTTAAAAGGCTTGGCGCACATACGAGTTACCGAACCCATGTTTAATGCTGAAATTCGCACGGCATAAATGAAGCTCACCCGACGAATAAATAGGTCGGAAGGTACCGTTTAAATGGCATTATTTGGAAACGTGCAACAATTACATTTTTATGGGGCGATACAACTGGCTGCAGTATAAATATTATTTTGGCTACAGGTGTACAGCGTGGTATTTGACAAAGAAGCTCTGCGGACGTCTGATGTAATTGCGGACGTTTACGTCTGAATACACGCGTACACACAATCTCATCATTTTCCATTCAATCACTCAGTTCTCTCTCCTCCCCCATCTGCCGTCCTCTCTTCCTACCTACCCGACGTTGTTCGTCCTATCTCACTCTCCCACTCTCGTCCTTTTCTTGCCTTCTATCTCACGTTCTCCCACAACGCTATCTCTGAATCACTCTGTATATGTTGTATTCTTCGTATTATTATTATTCTACCCAACCTCGTGTTAAAATTCGGTTCACTCTCCGTCTATCGCACGCACATCGGTCGGGCACATAGATTATTAAGTCGGTCGGGTCCCATCGATCGCTCTGTCCCGTGGCTCGCTCGCTCGCTGACTCGGTCGCGCGCGCGCGTGGGTTCCCTCCCGATACAAAAACGAGCGTCTTAACCAATGAGCGGCGCGCATTGGCGTCCGTGCCCGGGCGTGCGGGCGCGAGCGCGCGCGACCCTGCCGGGGCCAGCAGCAGCAGCGGCAGCGGCGGCGGCGCTTTAATTGGCTCGCGGAGCGTCCCGCGCGCAAGCAGCACCCTCTCTCTCAACGCGCGCTCTCCGCTCGCTCGCTCGCCACCCTCCCCCCTCTCTCTCTCTCGCTCTCGTCTGTTCTCTCCCACCCTCTCTCTGCTCGCACGCTCTCTCTCTCTCTACCGCGCGCGCGTGTGTGTGTGTGTACACGCGCGTGTGTGTGTGTGCATGTGTCCCGCGTCCCGCACGAAGAGGTGTCAATATGGCGACGGCGGTGTGTGCGAGAGGCAGCGTCTTCGTCTCACTTGCGCTGGCCATGATGAGCCTGGTACGCGCCGACGTCTTCCCGCATCCATGGACGTGAGTAACACCCCCCCCCCCCTTCTCCCCAGTACTCTTGCTCTTTCGACTCGGGGAAGAAACTCCCAGCGTGGGGGTCTCGCGCGCGCGCGCGCGCGCACGCTGGCCGGGTCCGTCGCCCTCATTCATCCATCCATCGCATCGATGCGTACATTTAATCTATCTCTTGTCTAAACTATAACTTGACCCGCGTTATCATCCGCGCACTCTGTTTTTCCCAAGAGGACCGAATCCTCTTTGTGGGCGTCCCAGCGCTTGTCTGTTACATTCTCCGCATGCCCGTACCTGGTCGTCTTAATGCCTTGCGGCTGCTCAACGTGGTCTTGACCGGCGCATTTCAGACTGCTCCAAATACATCCTTGTGTGCGTTTGACATGAACAAATATCAACGCTGTTACATTTCACCGTGAATGCATGGCCGATAACATGTGGCCCGTTGATGTAATGTGTTTGTGCTCACATGACGTGCCCAGCATTTGTGGTATGCTGCGCTTCTGCGCAACAGTGTGCGTGCGAGCTGAGGGCGCGGAAGGGAAACTTGACCGCTGGCGCATTGCTTATGCACGCCGTTTTTGCGAGTTCGACAGAGACTTCGTATTCTTTATTTAACCACGCGCCGCTGCTACGTATCGGTCGTAACCGATGCAATGGTAGAGAGCGAGTTTTTAAAATGTGCTACTCATTAAAAAAAAAGAATGACTCGTCACATATTGCCCGCCGTCTGCATGTTGTGTAGATGTGTGCCTTAATTCGTGAACGGGTTGCCTCAAATAGATGCGCGTGTTATTTCGTGGATTGGTTTAAGTTAAATCGTTTCGAATTTCTCGGTACGTTTATCGATACTGTGAGTGTTTTGTTTCGCTAAAAAACGACCTTGGCCCTCAATCTAATCCAAGATGCATTCGATAACATTGTTTACGCTAATTGTTAAAAGTTATAATTGCAATAAGTAGACAGACACTTGTCGAGATCGGAACACAAAGCGGATCGCCAAGAATCGTTGCGGGGAGGGGGTGGGATTTGTGAGCAGTGTTTTGGGATTTGCGATGTAAAACGGAAATTACAACGAACATGAGTCAACACAAATGTTTACTTGGGGATAGAAAAAAATACGTCGGCAAAATGTCACTCACTCCCGAAGGGTCTCTTTCTCCTCGTATTGCGCGCAACAGCGCCGCGTCGCAGCTAGCGCCACGCCATAACTCCGAAGTGCCTTTGCCGGAGTATGGACAAGCTCGCTCTCTCTCTCTACAACAATGGGGAGTCTTGTGATAAGCATAGGACATCGTGCGAACTGGCTCCCTGCAAGCCACGGCAATGAGCGTCGTGCGAATAAGACGGAGTACGTCAGCAAGTGTGTGTGCGCTTGGAACCTGTGTGTGTGTGCGCGCGCTTGGAACCTGTGTGTGTGTGCGCCCGCTTGGAACCTGTGTGTGTGTGTGTGCTTGGACCCTGTGTATGTGCGCTTGGAACCTGTGTGTGTGTGTGCGCTTGGAACCTATGTGTGTGTGTGCTTGGACCCTGTGTGTGTGTGTGTGCTTGGAACCTGTGTGTGTGTGTGCGCGCTTGGACCCTGTGTGTGTGCTTGGAACCTCAGTTTAACACGTAGGCTTTCGCGACCAATGTTATTCATAATCAACGATTTTTGGGTTTAGATCGCGTTTATTTATAAATGTGTCGTAACCCTCCACCACCCGACACGGCCAATCAGTAAAAAATGTGTCACGTTGACAAAGACAAATAGTTCACTGCTTTAGCCCACCGGTGTGTTGAAGCAACAACATTCACAATTTGAATGTTGTTGCTTCAACACACCGGTGGGCTAAAGCAGTGAACTATTTGTCTTTGTCAACGTGACACATTTTTTACTGATTGGCCGTGTCGGGTGGTGGAGGGTTACGACACATTTATAAATAAACGCGATCTAAACCCAAAAATCGTTGATTATGCTTGGAACCTGTGTGTGTGTGTGTGCGCTTGGAACCTGTGTGTGTGTGTGCGCGCTTGGAACCTGTGTGTGTGTGTGTGTGCGCTTGGAACCTGTGTGTGTGTACGCGCTTGGACCCTGTGTGTGCGCTTGGAACCTGTGTGTGTGTGTGTGCGCTTGGAACCTGTGTGTGTGTGTGTGCGCGCTTGGAACCTGTGTGTGTGTGTGTGCGCTTGGAACCTGTGTGTGTGTGTGTGCGCTTGGAACCTGTGTGTGTGTGTGTGTGCGCTTGGACCCTGTGTGTGTGTACGCGCTTGGACCCACCACCAACGCAAACAAATATGACGCAGGCTCGAAGTGAGTCATAGCTTTATTTCGTCTCCAAAATAGGCTCCTTTTATTTACGCGAGCTGTGCTCGGTGACTTAACGCTGTCGTGACTGCACGAATTAATATTCTTTGCGTCTTTCGGTAAAGTCACGTAGATAGGTTAAAATAAAATCGCAAACAAACATATTTTCTTTCAACCTATCTACGTGACTTTACCGAAAGACCCAAAGAATAGGTGCTCAGTGGTTTGTAAAGTGTGAACACCGCGGTCACCTGAATGTAAACGGGACACCAACGCGATCGTTGTTCACGGCGCAAAAAGAAGGTAATAGACAATAATACAAAGCGCGCACCCAATTTAGCATTGCCTTGAGATAGCCACCGAAATTGCGCGCCCGACTCTGCCCATGCGGCCTGACGCTTACCACAGCAGACACGACGACGAGTACGATGATGATGATGCGATGATGCGGGATTGACAAGGACGTTCGGGTTGGTTCAAATTGTAATGTTCTCATTAGCCCCGGGACATTGACCCGTTTGCTATCTACTGTACGGCGACAGGGTGCCCGGCAAAGATAAAGACCCCCCCTCCCGTCTAGCCTTAACAGACTGTTGGGGCAAGTGCTGTTAGCGAGCACCTATGAAGACCGGCACGGCACACGAGTGGGTGGGTGGCCAACACCACGCCCGACCGTCTTTGTCTCCCTAGTGGCGATGCTCACACATCGCACCAGATACTCATTGGAGGCTGAGTCGACCTAGGGGAGGCCCAGGACCGGTTCAGATAATCGTCACTGGTGTTGGCCGTGAGCAGGAATCGAACCCGTGTCGCAGGGTTCGTAGCGCAGCGCGCTAACCGCTGCACCACCGCTCCCCATCGCGCCAGTGCAGCGCGCCACTGCCACCCGTTCGACTGCATCACTCACCCGAATCTGTGCTGTGACATTACTTTACCGCCCCCTCTTATTTATGTTTGTGATTACCCCTTATTACATGACACGTAGCGTAGGTTTTGTGTTTGTGGCTTTGGCGGGGGTGGGTGTGGGCGAGACTCGAGAGGGGTATTTGTAGTTGTGTATGAGCAGAGTTTTGTTTGTATTCGTAATAAAAACAGTTGGCACGTTCCCCGTTGCTGCTCAATAGCATCACGCGTCATTGAGATGCCTTGTGGATTTGCCAGGGAGAGCGAGATGCATTGCAGTTTTGTATGGACAGTTTTTCATTTATCTGCAATACTGCTTATTAGACCATTTGACACTTACTCCTTGTTTTTTTTTGGTAAAGTCACGTAGGTAAAACATCAAATAAATGAAAACAACTAAATTAAATCACGACATTTGACACTTCCCATGTGTTTTTTTGTGCGTGTGTTAATACAACGATTTGTCATTGATATTCCGTGTCACCTTCACAAAGGAGACCTGGGATCTTCCCACTGTGTATGTCGAGTTACTAATTTGAATACCACTCAGACCCGTTGACACTTCTTCCCCAGTCCCTTTTCAAGAAGAAAGAAAATAAACAAATGCCAGTGTTGTTCTGTCTAAATAATTCATCGGCGCGCGCGAACGTTTTTTTATTTATAAAATCCAATATTAATATTGCAGCACGAGCTCTGTCCATTACAACGCGGACAGCACTTTTTTTAGTAATTGCCACCTACTCAATTCGCTCGCGACAGTAACAGGGAGACTGCAGCACGTGCAGAGACCCAGGCGTGTCTCACAATGCGCTCCGTCACCCTGCCACGGCTGAGTGTGCTGCATAGTTTACGACCGCGTTTAAATCGTCACACTCATCTTAATGTCTACATTAGGGCATTATTTATCCCCCTCCCTCTTCCCCCCTCCCCCCCCCAAAAAAAACCACACATGGCCTTGGACAAGTATTTTTTTGTTTGCGGTCAGGAGACCCACGTTTTTTTTGTTCCTGTGGAGGTTATTCCTGCCCTGGGTGGGTTGGGTTGGGTGGGTTGAGGGTAGGAGCTGGTTGATTGACGGTAGCTTTGCGCCCGGTCAGAGGGGTAGTGGGGAAGGAGGTTGCCCTCGCACGGCGGGTTAGGGGTTAGGGGTGGGTTGGGTGGGTTGAGGGTAGGAGCTGGTTGATTTACGGTAGCTTTGCGCCCGGTCGGAGGGGTAGTGGGGAAGGAGGTTGGGACTGAGCTGTACGCCAATGCAGATAGAGGCGACCCGCGGTGATAAATAACGGCACGTGGATGTTGTTGCTTCGGAATGCTGCAGAATTAAGCAATGGGCGGGGAGGCTGGACCGGGAACTGGAGCGCGTCGTACGTCAAGCCAGCGGGGTCGACCAACTCAAGCAGGTACGTGCGTGTGTGCTCCCTGTGTGTGTGCTCTCTATGTGTGTGTGTGTACTCCCTGTGTGTGTACTCTGTGTGTGTACTCTGTGTATGTACTCTGTGTGTGTACTCTGTGTGTGTGTACTCTGTGTGTGTACTCTGTGTGTGTGTGCTCTGTGTGTGTGTGCTCCCTGTGTGTGTGTGCTCTCTAGGTGTGTGTGTACTCCCTGTGTGTGTACTCTGTGTGTGTGTACTCGGTGTGTGTGCACTCCCCATGTGTGTGTGTACTCTGTGTGTGTGCACTCCCCATGCGTGTGTGCGGTGGCGTAGTGGTTAGCGACACAGCGCTATGAACCCGGCGACCTGAGTTCGATTCCCGCACACGGCCGACACGAGTTACGATTATTTGAACCTACCCTAGGTCGACTCAGCCTCAAATCTAGTGTGATGTGTAAACATCGCCACGAGAGAGAGATAGGCGGCCAGGCGTGGTGCTGGCCACCCCTCGTGTACCGTGCAGGTCTTCGTAGGTGCTCGCAAACAGCACTTGTCCCAAAAGTCTGTTTAGGCTTGAATGGGGATCTTTGTCTTTGTGTGCAGTAAGGAGGAGGGTGGAGAGGGAGAGGGGGAAGGGGATGGGGGCATTTTTCATGACCATTTGATACCAATCGTATACCAGTTTAATGCCAGTATAATTGAGACTATGCTAATACCAGTTTAATACCAGTCTAATTGAAACCAGTCTAATACAAGTCGAAATGATACCAGTCTAATACCAGTCTAATTGATGCCAGTCTAATTGAAACCAGTCTAATACAAGTCGAAATGATACCAGTCTAATACCAGTCTAATTGATGCCAGTCTAATACCAGTCTAATTGAATCTAATACCAGTCTAATTGAATTCCACTGATGACCCCTCTGCAGGGTTCAACTTCGAATGGTACACTCCAGCAGTTGTGTCCTCTTCGTGATGACAACTCACGTATTGTGGGCCATGCTTGCCTGTGTACATGCGTCTTGATACTTGAACAGGCTCCATCGTTGTCGGTGGAGGTTTGGTGATTTATTTTTAAATCCTTTATATTAAGTTCACTTGCTTGCTTGCTTGCGTGCTTGCTTGCTTGCTTAGGACCGTGCAAATCTTTTGGTCGTTTTTTAACCCACTTCCCGTGATCCAATCGAGCTGACATTTTGCACACAGACTCGGTGTGCGTGACAATTAATTTTCGTGAAAAAAAAGATTCCCAACTTTTACACTGTTTAGGGAAAATAAAAAAAATATTTAATTACCAATTGCTTAATGGTGGCAGACAATCATCTGACCCATAGGTGACAGCCATCTCAAGCCAGAGGACGAGAGGACTCTAGCCGCCCCGATGCCACGCATATAAAGAATTTATAGTGAAAAACTTTGTTTTTACGGGTTAATTTTTTTTATAAGTTTAGGCTTCTTTGTGATGAGGGAGCTTTTTTAAAAACATTTGCATGTGCGGGGAAGCAGAGGATACGGGTCACTGTTGAATCATTACAAGTTATCTTAATTCTACTGTGCAATTGTACAGACTATAGAAAAATGGTATGTCCATTTTAATTGCCTAATATATCATTGATTTATCTTAAACAAAAACATGTCAGTACTTGTAACACGGTGTTGTGCAGTATATTGTACGATATACGTGTGCATACTCGTTTTTTTACGTTACATAAATGCTTATTTACGAGTGAAATTATGTTTAAAATGACATTTCTCTAATTAAAACAAGCGTTCATGAATTACGAAAGCAAATATCACGGATCTCTGGAGAGGCTAGCTGAAGATGATTTGGGAGAAGGATATCCATGCCTAGCATATTAATTTCAATAATGCACACTACAATGTAACTGTCTAACTTATCAATCGCCATCATCCCCAACTAAGCCCTACTTTCTAAAGGAGGACTTAAATACATCATGTCAATATGAATAAGCTTGACATCCATTCTTAACTGCTCCCACACATTTTTTTGAAATTAATTAACTCTTCATGGCGCCCAAAAAGAAACACTTTTAGTGGCATCATCTGTAATTTGTCTGTGCTGCCACACATGTTCTGACTTTCTTTCAAAGTTCCCCTCACCAATTGCCATGATTGGTGTGCAATCATTTGTGCAGTCATGATAAGAGGGTGTACAGCGTGAAGGCTGCGAGTAATCAGTGGAGACTTGTGTAGGCGACATTGACAAAAGGACTTCGGAATGCCTTCGAACTACACTGAATTGTAAGCAATTGTACGTAACCGGAAAAAAATATCCAAAAAATAGACCCTTCCTTTTACGTTTAAGATGCGCCTAAAAAAAAACTGTCGGAAATGTGTAAGTGGTTCTCATCTCAGATGTATGATCTTAAATCGTACTATACATATTCAATGTGCACTGAAATTATGAGCGCCTTCACTTTCAAAATGTAATTTCTACATACATTTTATTTCAAATACAATGTTTAAAATGTTCACTTTACTCACGGTAATGCTCCATTATTATTTATATGAACATTATTAACAAACAATTTGGCATTGGAAATGTTCGAAGCTAGACACAAAAGTACTATCATTGCAATGTGTTTTAATAATCATTTTTACATATGTTGAGTTTGTTTTGTATTTATTAGGCATATTTTAATCATTGTCTTGCAATAATATTCTGACATTATACATGAAAACAATAGCCCTGCTAAACTGCCTCTGTGAAATAAGCCACGTCTGACGGAAATAATGTGTTTAGAAAAATACACAAATCAACTGTTTAATAACACAAGGAGTTACGATTTTTTTTATTCCAAAACGGTGTTATTTATTTTCTATTTTTTGACATGGGCAGTTAATTCAAAGAACAGACATTTCAGCTGTATCTAGTTGCCTGGTTAAAATAACACGATGCAAGAAATGCATAGACCGTAATTACTTCCATTGCCCTGCTGCATTTCTGCTCTGCTCAACAGATATTTCACCTACAGTTTTCCTTCGCTGCCTCGAAACAAAAATTATTAGCCGCTATTGTTGGTGGGGCTACCTCTGTCCAGTTGGTCACAGTGCAGCGCAAGCGATTCCAGTGTTGAATTTTTGGCACCGAACCGGGATTGCTGTGCAGTGCTGGTCGATGGCTAATTTTATCTGCCATTTGCAGCTGTACACGGAGCACAAGCATCTGTTTGAGGTGCGGAGGAACGATGCACAGCATCTGGTGGAGTCGGTGACCGGCGAGATTGAGAAAGTCCTCGACAAGAAAGTGAAGGCTCTGGAGGTGAGTGTGACATGCCCTCATTTTTCCTGCAAGGTCCCATCTGATTGCATACAAAATTAGATCACTTCACTACAATGCATGTTTCCGTCGATTAACGGCTTTATTGGCCCTACTGAAATCGAATTAAAGATAAATTCAACTTATGGGGTTATGTGTTTTTTTTTTCCTGTTGAATTAAAAAAGCCTGTACTGTATACGCTAAATAAAATACTCTACGGAATGTACGTATGTATGTTGCACTTATTTCGCACCGTACATAGCCAACCGTGCTAATCTCGAATATTGCAGTTGAATAGTAATGTAATATTCTTTGCCAATCCACTGCTGGATTAAAGTCTCCACAATTCGCCCGTGTTGATTATGGGAGTTTGGTTGCCCGTACTGCAGCACGCAGCTCATTGCATGTTTGTGAATGGATGGTCCAGGATCGGTTCTGATATCGTGTGCCCATTCCAGCGCCTTATCCATGGTTGGGTATTAGATTTAGATCACCAGGTTCATAGAACAACGGGCTAACCGCTGTGCTACTGCTTGACACCAAAACACTGCGATATACTGTGTTAAATATATTGTTTCCAAGATACTATTGTGATTTGGGTACCCTGTGTAAATGATAGTGGAGATAATAACACTAATAATGCCAATTTCTGTACACAAAAACCCACTGAGTATCAATACTCTGTTTTTAAGAGAATATCGGATTGGGATGTTTGACCAATACTGTTCATGACATCTGGGAGTAAAATCAGAGAACCAAGAGAAACCCGTACAAAATGAGGGGGCGACAATCAACACTCCCATCTCGTGGTCACTTCGCAGCTCCACGCCTGCCAACACCTGGTGAGGCCCTTGATGGTCACCCATACAAGTGCAGTGACATAGAATTCGCGATGTAGTAGCATAGCGCTTGCTGCTGGCGGGGAAGGGGATCTGCGGCTTACGGCAGCCCTGACGTCAGCAGGCCACGTGATACACCAGAGGGGGATCTAGGGGGGAAAGGTCACGGACCGGGCATGCCAGGAACCCGCTGGTAGGTTCTAGAAAGGGGGCGTGACCGGGGGCGGAGCCAGGCCACGCTGACAGTATAAAAGGGGCCTCTGGAGGAGACCTCGGGGCTGTCATTTGGAGTGGGATCCCAATCGTGCTGTTGAAGGTCGTCACTGTCTCGATTTAAAGCTTTCGTGACTGCAGGGATTCATCTTCTTTGTTCTTTCGGTAAAGTCATGTAGAATGGAAATAATAAAATAATAAAAATAAAACATAATTAAATAATTCTCACGACGTTTCGGCCACAACGCAAGCAGCCGTCCTCAGGTGAAGAACAGGTTTGGGTACCCAGACTCTGTCTTATCGACATACCTGTTCTTCACCTGAGCACGGCTGCTTGCGTTGTGGCCGAAACGTCGTGAGAATTATTTTATTATGTTTTATTTTTATTATTTTATTATTTCCATTCTACGTGACTTTACCGAAAGAACAAAGAAGATCGTCACTGTCTTCTCGTCGCCATCGTCGCTGTCGTCTTCACTCGAGATTGCGCTCTAAGACGGAGGTTGGCTGTCTCGGTTCAGCGCCGTCAGTGTTAGACGGCTCGTGTTGTCTATAAGGCGAACAACCCACGTAGTGTTGTGTATAAACGAGAGATAGAAGAGTGTGTACCAGCGTAGGGTGTGTAGTGTGCGTTAAATAAAGTGCCACCACCTCTTAGTGTCTCCGAAGTGAGTCGCTACATAAGTAATAACCAGGTCAAAAAAACCCTTGCCTATCTTCTGAGACTTGAAAATGTTTTGAGTAATTTGATGAAAGGCATAGGTAGATCTCTTTTGAGATCTCACATCTTAATATTTAAATAGCACAATATTATGAAAATGTTATTACGTAAACATCTTTCAGTAATTTATTTTAAAATATATATTTTATAATATTCACTATCTTACTTGAATTGGTTAATTTGAAACGGTAAATAATTGTACCATTATTTGGCTGCAAGAAGCCAAATAAGTCTACTCTGCAATCATGTCCTTGTCTTGGCACACCCTTAATAGTATTCTCAGGTATATTAAGCACATAAACATCAAATTAATTATGTTTTAATCCATTGTCTTCTCTGTGGTGCACAGTTAAAGGCACGTGTGAAATTACTATAGATGGTACTGCTGAGATTCAAATTTAATGCGTAAGCTCCAGGGAGCTCAAGTAGGCATGTAGCTTATAAATATCAGCATTTAGCGTACAGTTCAATGACGTATTTTCATTGAGATGCATTTAGTAAAGCCATGTTTGCTATGTATTATTCCATAAGAGCTATGTGTGACTTTAATGGGATTCTGGGGTCGGGGGGAGGGGGTAATTTGTTTTTCATTGGTGAATACAGCACCAACAGGTATTCAATACACTGGAGTTACTGCTCCAGCAATCACCAGATATTAACTGCTCCAGGTAAGGATGCATCAAGTTTTTTTTTTTTCCCCAGACACTCAAAAAAATTGCGAAACCTTCAAAATTATTCTGTTCACGACTAATTGCTTCTGCAGCCTTTTTAGAGGCTTTCTGCCTGGCTCAGCTTGGCTTCAATGCCACTTCGAGAAGCTTTTGGTTATGGCCATTAACTTCCCACGTGAGCTGACCTAACTTCGGGAATATTTTTTCCCAATCAGACCTGCTGTCTTGCAAAATGGACTGAGGGAAAACAATTAACAAAACAATTAGGCGGTGACAAGTGGTTTTTAGTTTGCAATTTTTTTAGTCTGCCTTAAATATATATATTTTTACATACGGTGTAATGGACAGTGAATTGTTGTTTTCATCCGCTTTACAGTTCCAATGGATTTTTTATTGTTTTATTTTTATTATTGTATTATTTCCCTTCTACGTGACTTTACCGAAAGAACCGAGAATATGAGTTCCAATGCAGTTATTTTCAGCAATACAAAATATTTGGCAGGATTTTTTGTCTTTCTCATGGCAACTTCTGCACTTTAGTTTAACCCGAAATGAGCGTCGTCGCTTCATGAAGGATGTAAGATGCAGCCGTGGCGCTGATTGATGGTGCGGTTTTAAGGTGTGTTCATTTGTCTCCTGCGTGATGTCCTTGAGTGCTGTGGCTCAAGGGTATGTAACACTTGTAGGCAACGTTTTCATCCAATATTACTCCCACAAATGTATCCGTATTTTTTTTGTAAGTTGGTGTCATAAGTTAATCCTAATGCCTGTTTAAAAGGCAAATGATGATGAATCGATTCATTGATTAAAATTGATTCTCATGATTTGAATCTGTCAGGGTTGGGATTGGCGGTTTGGGGGAGAGTGGTGAATCATTGCTCCTTGACTGTTAGCCATAATTGTATAAAGCAGTTCCAACTGTGTATCGGTGTCCATGCGGTTAACGGTTACGATGTTGGCATTTTCTTACCTACATTTTACTTTTCATTTTTGACATTCGGCAATGAACAGCGCTCGATGTAGCGTGCAATGGTGGAGTTGTACACATTATTCACAGCTTTGAGATTATATTCTCTTTCAAGATATCTCACCAGTGTGGAAGAGGAGGCCAAATACTCTCTAGAGGGGGCTCTTTAGAGCTCCCTCGAGTTAGCGCGCTTCTGCCAGCACTGGTGTGAGAAAGACATTTCTCACCGAACCTTTATCTTTCTTGACGATTTATTGCTTTCGTATTTTTTTTATACGCCTAATATTCCCCTTTACTGAAATAACCACAATTCTGTTGTCGCTCATTTGAAGAATGGTCAGGTTTGCGGCAGCATGAATATTTGTTCAGTGCTAAACATCCATGCATCCGTTCCTCACTGTACGCTCAGCAAAAGCCAATTACCACATAATAAACAGAAGACACATGCACACATTAAGCAGAACAAGGAAGGTGTCCCTCAAATCCCACAAATCTGTTCCGGACAGTGAAGATACTGACATTGGCAATCAGCTTCCTCGGAATAAAGACTGGGTAAAGGAATACCAAGTGCACACTCTATCGCATGCCTTCATCACCTACCTGCCGGTCCGTCTGAAGAAAAGTCAGTTCTGTGTGTGCAACCCCAGCTGTAGGATCTCATTGAGCTTCCTGAAGCCAGCGTGAATTGAGACCCGAAATAAACTGAGCATTTTACGTTAACATATATCCAGGAAAGAACAAGAAAGCAAACTAAAGGTGATCGGTGATACATATAAACTTCAATATATATACAATAAGCACAAGTTATATTATTTTGTGTCTTATTCGTGGCATCCACATGATGCTATAGTAAGCATAACTGGTTTTCGACTAAAACCTGTGCCAACAATAGCAGCTCATCTCTGCATATTTACAAGCTGGCTGCATGTCATATGCTGTAAATTGGCTTCATATTTTTCCACTTCCCTCTAAGCAGAGAGGACCTTATGCAGCTTGCTGATAAAACTGTAATCCTGGATTTTCATCCGAAGCAAATCCTATCTTATTTCCATACTCGCTCTGCCAAGAATTCCTTCCTTGTCCGTTTGTGGGAGAAATAAAACAAATCGCCGCAGTTGATTTTAAAGTTCAACATCCATTACGTCTTATAAGGGGCCTATATACCATGCCATTGTCGAAATCGCATGTTTTAAAAATAAACGCGTGATTAGTTTTCATGTAAATGAGTAGAGTGGCAGATTCTTTCGGTGAAATATTTCACAATTGTACTTGGAATTCTGAAAGCTGACCTGAATAGCTACAAAATGATGAATAGAGAGTGTACAATATTAGTTTAAGAAATTTCAATGAACAAATGAATAACACTCATTTCAATGAATACATCGTGTTTTATGTTATTCTAAAATTGCAATCGATAGGAACTAACTTACATTCATCATTTGCCTGTAATTAATATTACATTTGTGTTGCTGTTTTGATGTATTTGGGGAAAAAACTAATATTTGAAATAACCTGCTCACACATTAAACAATGACAATTATATTTTAAAAAAAAACATTATTGAACACGACATTTGCTTAAACTGTGATAT